CATGAAAAAAACATAATCTCCCTAGCCCATGTATCATATTGTTTGAACATTGAAGGAGTTTATTGTGAGGCTAATGTGCAGAGATCGGGGGCAGACCCTGGTACACAGGAGGAAACCACTGTGAGTGGTAGGCTGGACTGGTGATGGATGGGTCACCGTGGGCGGGAGAGATCTCCCTCGCAAATGTTCTGCCAATGTTGGTCACCACCATGCACCGTCTCTCTTCCCGGCCTTGAGTTCCAAAGTGCAAAGTGGTTCAGTCATGTGGGCCAAAGTATACCAGCTTCATCTGTAGCTGCAGGAATGATTAGCCATGCAAATGAGAGATATCAATTAAATTCTTTGGATACTGACAGAGATTCAAGGCTGATCATGTTGCCGATGGTGGATGGAATAGACCCATTCACTTTGTTAATCCTTAGGTTCCTGAGGATGTACACACGCACAAAGTTCCATCAAAGGAATAAGAGGGATACAGCAAGTGGTTGGGGGGAGAGGAAAGTGGAAATGGAGTTTAAAAAGGCCGTGAGAGCTGAACATGTAAACATTACAGCTTACACACACACTCTAATAGGCGGTGTTGGAAGTCGGAGATGTTACGCTCAGATTTGAATGTCACTTGAGGTACCCATTCTAATAGGTTGCCTCCAACTGTGAGCACACATATGTTTTCTATACTACACTTTTGGCTTTCTAACACGTTTTGTAAAGAGCAGACATCAGAAGAATGGAAAACAGGAGATACCACAAGAGGCACTGTTTTGAATGTTACACAAGCACACCAAGGCAACAATGAAGCCTATAGTGCTAGTGAAGCAACAGTAAGCAGGCAAATTTATGGGATTCTATCATGTCAGCCAGCAGCTCTGGCCAGAAAGGCGAGATTAGATTAGGGTTGACCAGTTTTGAGGGGCAGTCATTTTTCTTTACTTTTCTTTTGTTTTATACGAGACATGATTTGTGTATGATGGAACTATCAGACGTTATACCTGGTAAGGTTGCGCCTTTGATCGTCACTGCCAGCTTGATTTCAAAGGTTCCCACTTTCATCATCCTCCCATGTATGGAATTACCATCCTTGCCCATGTAACTTGTCGCCTGAATGTTGCAGGACCACATTTCAAGGCTAATGTGTAGATCTCAGCCGCGAAAGAACCTGGTACCCACGAGGTTACCAATGTCAGTGGCGGGCTGGACAGCTGACATAACGACGCTGTCGGGAGAGATCTCCTGCTCCGCCAATGTTGGTCACCGCCGTGCACCGTCTACATCCCTAGCCCTAGAGTCAAAAGTGCACAGTGGTTCAGCCATATAGCCCAAAGTGTACCTGGACAGAGGACATGGAGATCCTCCCAGTGTCATCGGCGGTCCTCCCCTGCTCGGTTGTCATACAGTGCTGTGAAAAGGCGTGTCTGGCTGCACGTAGAACGTAGGTCTGCCAATCAGGCCGACCCTACACCTGCCTGCCGTTGCTGCAGCTGCAAACTCTGCAGTAGTGGCTGCCACTGCAGCAAATCCAGCCTTGGAGAATATTTTCCTGGTGATGGGGACATTGGTGCATAGGGGGAATGGCGACGGAATCTCCCCACCACTTCATTTTCAGAGAATTTCACGCTCAATCTCCTGCCCACGTTTGGAAGATTCAGAATCTCTCTTGCCCTATATACCTTGTCATTTGAACATTGCAGGGCCTTGTCGCGAGGCTAATGTGCAAAGGTCGTCAGTAGACCCCCGGTACCCAAGAGGTCACCACTCTGATTTGCGGCCTGGACCGGTGACACATAACATGGGCGGAGAGAGATTTCCCTCGTATCCGGTGTGCCAATGTTGGTCACCACCATGCACCGTCTCCTTCCCCAGCCAAGGCTAAAGTGCACAGTGCTTCAGCCATGTGGGCAAAAGTGTACCTGATTAGCAAATCCTGTAGTCATCCCCTGCTCGGCTGTCATTGCAGTGCTGAGAAAAGGTGTGTCTGGCAGCACGCGAAGCATAGGTCATGCCAACCAGGACGGACACCACACTTGCCGGCCGTTGCTGCAGCTGCAAAATCGGCGGCATTGGCTGCCTCTGCAGCAAATCCAGCCTTGGCGAAGATTCCCTTGGTGATGGAGGCATCGGCCCAGAGGGGGAATGGCGCCAAACTCTGCCCATGACTTCAGGAGCACCTTCCACCCCCAATGGGTCTCGATTCAGCTTTGTGCTGGTGCAGATGCTCCCTGCTCACACGAAGCTTCGTGTGGGACCATCATGCGTTATGAACCACGGCAAAGGACTTCCATTCTTCCTGCCACATATCCGCCCACTCGACCCACTGCTGCCACCTCCCCCCTCCTAGGACATAGCCATCGCCACTAGTGCCATGCCAGCCTCCAGTAGTTGTGGACGAGCAGGCTGAAGCTGTAGCAGAGAGGATGGAGCTTGTGGCTATCGCAGGCTCAAGAGGAGGCCGGCAGGTTCCTCATGAGCTCCTGCATGCTTGTGGAGCACAAGGTCTGTTGAGGACGCTTTCTACTGGCGTTTCAAGGAGGTGTGAGTGCTGGCGGAGTTTCGTTGCGGTTGCATTATGCTGGGGGGATGGCTGCAACTCTGCTGCTGTGGGGTTGGGGGAAACTTTGGTGGAGGCAACTCGGATGACAAGCTTGGGTCCTCCCATCTGACACGTGAGCTGACACTGGTGAGTAGCATTGAAATTGAGTAGGAGCACATATGGTCTGCAGTCACTATATTCAAAAGGATATTCTTGCTCGTTCCTACCTCACAACCATTGGAAGGAGCACTACATATGGATAAGGCAATGAAAAGTTTTCTAGTTTAGGTGAATGTGGTGGTAAAACGCAAGATCCACATACATCTGGCAGCAAACTGGCATCTCCATGCGGATTTGAAAGATTGTGGCGAGGCATACAAGCTCGTTCTAGCTCGATTAGGTTTGCGTATCATAGATGAGCCACAGCCCTAATTAGCTCCCACTCATCTCATCGGCTAGTCAGCTCGTTGTGCAATTTAACGACTAAGCTGGTCATAGGCCTATGCTCAAACCCACTATTTCTAGGAGCCTTGCATTTGTGAGTCATTTCCAACAGCTCCAAATGCTCATATGGCCGAGCTTGGACCCTCTAGTCATAATGCGGTTCAAATTGAATGGCATGGGACAGCGTGGTTGGGCTAGCCTGTTTGGAACACGTTCCGGACTGCCCTTTTTGCATGTACCGCTTGTCGATCTCAGCCTCGCAATAACTAGCCCGGCTTGTTGGGTCAGCTTGCTGCAGAAACATCATGTACAATGACTAGTTGTATCATGGTCTGAGTCCACCAACCAACTAGTCACCTTGCTGCAGATCTCTGGCAAACTTGTTGTAGAACCAACGTACCATAGGCCGCCCCCCAGGCCCTGGGTTAGCGGGCTTGCTCAACCCAGCGCCAGCCCGTGGTTATGCCTAGCATGTATGCTCGTCCTCAAATCAAGTTGACTTGGTGTCGCTATCGCAATCCCTCTAACTTCTGAACTTGTACGATATAATGTTGGCTCTCTTTCCTATTCCCTTCACGATACTCACAATGTGTAGGAGGTTGCTTAGGCTACCGATGGTGGATAGAATAGACCCACCCAGAGAATTGTTGTAAAGAGACCTAATGATTCAACATATGAAGGGTGTATGGGCGCACAGAAACAAATACAGCAAGAAAACCATACCTCAATTTATGGACACATGAGTATGGCTGCATATAAAGCGGATACGATCAAACCATTGCTACAGTGCCCATGAAAAGGGTGCCATGAAACTGTATAAAAAAAGAACTGAACTAAAATGTAGGAGAGAGATGAGTGAACATGACATTCTGATATGTGATATGTGATACAAGCTACCTACTCTAAAAGGTGCCTGATTGTGAGCAGAACACAAAGAAGCTGCTGAATTTTACGATCGACATTATTCCACAACGCTGCAAGAAACAATGGTGAATGATGTGCCGGAGTAGCCGAACGTTAGCATTTTGACACTAGATGTTTAATGGACAGATTGACAAACCCTTCATATTGTTGTCAATGTCCATAAAAATGAACTCTGGAGGCTCAGCTCGGTTAGGGGGCCTCATAACCTTGCTCATGTATCTTACCGCCTCGACATTTCGGGACCTTATAGTGAGGCTAATGTGGAGAGATTCGTAGCAAATCCTGCTCACTACTATGAGTGGCGAGATGGACCGGCTCACAACAGTGACAGGTCGCTGTGGGCACACAGGAGGAATGACGGCATTCTCTCTCCGCTAGTTCAGGGGCACCTTCCATCCCTAGTGGATCTCAATTCACATTCGCGGAGGTCAGTTAGGGCTCTCTTTCTGGATTCCTTGCTGATACTCACAATTTTTTTAGGCTGCTCATTTGGCCGATGGTGGATGGAATAGACCCACTCAGCGCGTTGTAGCTGAGATCTCTGGTGGTAAAGCAAGCGAAGTATATTATGGGTGGAAATAAATGAAGACAACTTGCGCCTTATCGCAAACATGCAACTGTGTACACATTCAGAAGCAGGAGAAAAGGATATAGAGTACATAATGTTTGTGTTGGTGGAAAGGCACAGCAGGATACAACTGTGACCTGAAACTAAGTTGCGGAAGACGCGTCTAGCGTCTTAGACCCGTCCGTCTAGACGCAGCGTCTAAGACGCTAGATGCTAGTGAGGTTGGATTAGACGCAATACTAGACGAAAACCCAGGCAGGCCTAAAAAAAAACTTGGGCAGACCAAAAAAAGTACCAAGGGGCATGGGGAGGGTGGGGAACATGCACCTATGTCACATTGGGGTGAATTTTTCTGCGTACCATAATTTTTCCCCCATTCTTAGACTTCACAAAAATGATCATCTTATGTAGTTAACCTTCCATGCCTCTCTAGTAGTAGCAAACTTGAAAAACATTACTACTACTACATATCTGAGCAATCACTTCCTAACTCTCCTCCTCATCCTCCTCCTCCTCCTCTTCCTCCTCCTCCTCCCCTTACTTCTCCAGCGCCTCCTGCTCTGCCCACTCATCGAGGCACACGTCGTCCTCCTCCACCTCCACCTCCTCATCCTCCTCCAACTTGTACCCCTCGGGGATGGGGGGGGGGGGAATGTTTCCCTCCACCACTGCACCCTTCCTCCCCACCACACTAGGCCCCGCTTCCGCATCCTTGTGGAACTTGTGCACAACATTCCAGCTGTACGCAATGTACACAAGGTCGCGCACATTCGCCGACCCAAGCCTGTTCCTGCACGCCGTGTGCACGCCATCCCATGTAGACCAGCCCCGCTCGCACGGGGAAGCGGAAATGGCCTGGGACAGCGTGCGCCGCGCAATGCGCGCCAGGTCGGCGTACTCCCATCCATTGTACTGCCACCACAACATCACGTTCCCCTTCCTCAGCTGAATCTCCCCACGCCCATCGATCACGGTCTGTGTGCCGAATCCTCCTTCGCCGTTGATGTAGGCCGTCACCCCCTCATGCAGCGGCCTCACCGGTCCCTTCTTGCCTGCGGTTCTTCTTCCAGTACTTGTCGACGAACGCCTTCTGTCGCTCCAGCCACTCCTGCATGACCTTGGTGCACTCTGCATCCTGCAGAAAGATCCCTTCCTCCTGGTTCGCCGGGTACAAGATCCGGCTTGCCACGTGGAGGGGGCAAGCCAGGCTCTTGCCCCAACGCCTCCTCAAATGCTCCCGCACCTTCTCCTTATCCTCCGACTTCAGCTTGCACTCCCTCCCCTCCAGCAGCTTATCCAACTCCTTTGTCAGCTGCAGCATGATGTCGTACAGCTGGCCCATCATCCCCTTCGCCGCTGAATCCGTTCTCCGCATCACATTATAGAACAGCTCCATCACCTGCAGAAAGACGTCCACCTTCTTCCACCACCCCTGGTCCATCACCCACCCCTCAAAATCCGCTCCTGTAACCATGCTCCCCCCCCTCTCCGGCCAATCCTTGTGCGTCACCATCGCCGTGAGCTGCTGGCAAACGTCGCGCAGACGAGACACTGCGATGAACTGCGTTCCGAAGCGTGTGCCTGCCAGGCGCAACACCGGTAGCGATTTCTTCTCGCCGTGCAGCTCCGGGTCGCGCAGGAAGGCGCGCATGCACTGGAGCCCCCGCACGAAAGAGATCATATTGTCAGCTTGGGTCACGACCACCTGCGCCCAGTCCATCTTGCCCACGTCCTCCATCAGCAGGTCCAGCACGTGCGTCGCGCAGGGAACGAGCTCGATATGCGGCCACTCCTTCCGCAGCAGCTTGCCAGCCTTCTTGTAGTTGCTGCCTGCCGTCCGTGCACAACGCCACGACATGCTTCGCCCTGATGCGCTCGATGATCGGCCGCAGTACGCTGACGATGAACTTGCCACTCTTCGTCACCGCCTTGCAATCGACCGCCTCAACGAAAACCGCTCCAGTTGCGGAGATAACTACTACAATGGGAGCTAGACTACGGGCTAGGCACGGGTGCTTGTGTGATCTCTGCGTTCGCTGGTCCTTAGTCGTTTTCCTAGTGCACACACAGCTTGCTAGTTCACGGGGAGAATTAGCAAGAGTTTCACTAGAGAAAGTTGACAACAATGGTACAATGAAGTTGGCATGGCAAGACTACATCAGAGCTAGCATTCAGTTTGGTCGACTGCCACCGCAGCATGGTCGACCACATTCCAGCAGTGCAAAGTCGACGGCGTGCCAACGTCGCAGGTTGACGGCGTGCCAGCGCTACTCACGCAGAACAACAGCACACCCGCTTCGCAGGTCCTCCCAAATGATTGGCGGGCTGAGCCTCGTCACCTGCACAACGCACACACCAAGTCAACCTGGCGCTGATGACTGCTTCTGATCAGCCACGTCGACCTTGGGATACCACCACCGAGGTCGGGCTCGCCAACTTCGCCTGGGCGACCGTCGCACTCCTCCGCAGAACCTCGTCACCCAGGTAACCTGGTCGACCGGGCAACCACGTCGACCAGCTGCTCCCGTACGTGCCTGTCGACCTCCCAAGTCGACGGCCACCTCCAAGTCGACCTCACTAGATCGAACACGCCCTTGGTCGACCAGCTCCAGGTCGACGTCACTTCTGGTCGACCAGCTCCTCGTCGACCAGCTTCATGTCGACTAGCGCAGTTGTCGGCCGACCACCCAAGTTGGCTACCCAAAGTCGGCGTCACGAAGTTGACGTCCAGCTACTCGACGCCCAACTGCTCGGCGTCCTGAGTCGAGGTCGACGTCGGCCCCTCCTTCGTCGACCACCAGGTCAGGTCGACCACCAGCACGTCAACCAGCAGGCTTGGTCGACCAACCACCAGGTCGACCAGCAGTCCGTCAGCCGACCACCGAAGTCGGCTTCCCCAAGTTGACATCCTCCGCAGGTCGACTTCCCAAGTCGACCTCCCTGAATTCGGCGCCACCCTGAAGTCGGCGCCCGTACAGTGGTCTCCGTGCAGGTCGACCTCCTCGTGAACCAGCTCGCCCACTGCTGCAGGTCGGCTGCTCCCCTCACACCCGACCACGAAGTCGGCTCCGCCCAAGCGAGGACGGGGCCAACACACAACTCCCGTTAACACCAGTGTCAATGATGCAAATGATGTTCATCTGCGCGCAGCCGCTCTTGTCCTGCATCATGTCGCAGGCGATCGTTACGCTCGTCTCCGTCCATGACTTCGTTACCGGCGACAACGCCTTCTCAATCCGCTGCTTGCACTGAAGCAGGCAGGCGCCTCCAAAGTAGTGCCGCATGGGGGGGACGTAGTTTGGGCCGGCAGCGGTGACAGCTCGCAGCATGTTGAGGAAGAGCGGGTGCTCTTACAGAGACTCCGGCGTGCGCGTCCCCGCGAGGTAGAGGACAATCGCCTCGTTGGCCGCCCGCCTTCCCGCTTGTCCACCCTCGCCATAAAAGTCATCCATGCGACCGCGCTTCGCCTTCCCTTTCGCCTCGCTCTTGCCGCTCACCGCCGCGACCGCCGCAGTCGTCGCCCGCGCCTTTTGGTTGCGCGCCCGAATCTTCGCCTCGAACATTTCGCGAATCTCCGCGGAAATCTCCGTAGGCACATCCATGCAAACGACTCCCGCCTCGCGGCGACGGCGCGGGTCGTACCACTCGGCGAGATGCTTGGGAGCGCGGCTACTACTAAAAGAAAACTTTTTGTGGCAAAAAAGACACTCGACTTGCTCGCCCTCCTTCTTCGGATCCATAAAGAAATAATAGTGCTTGTAGATCGAGTGCTCGGGATGCTTAGACTTCTTCTCAACCCCCTCCAATTCTTGAGAAACACGAGCGGATACACCCTCGCAGACGACATTCTCGCTCGCGGAGGAGGAACTACTAGACGAAGGGCTACTACTAGAAGACATGGTTGCGCGCGCGGTGGAAAGAGCTAAACCCTAAGGGTTTTCAAAAGAGATTTGAAAGAAATGAAGGTTGGGGAGCACAAATGAGGGATTTGTTCTCCCCAACCTCTTTGTGGTTAACCATAGAGGTTGGGTTTTGTAGATAATGAGTGGTGAAGACTGGTTTGTATTCAATTGTGGTGGGGGAGGCTTCAAATTTGCATAGGGGGCTGGTTTTGGAGTCGAAATGGGTGGGAACGGGTTTGAATAGCGCGAAATTGAATTTCGCATCGAAATGGCGAAATTCAATTTCACGCGCGGAATTTTTTTTATTTTTTCGGGCTGCCCGATATTTTTTTAGCCATGCGTCTTGCGTCTAAATCAGCGTCTTCCGCTACTTTAAACAGTATACTCCATCGCATAATGTCTTCCGCGTCTTCCTGAAACAGCTGTGCATGCACAGTGCTTAAAACAGTATACTCCATCGCATAATGTCTTCACGGTCTGCTTTTGAACAAATTGATTTTGTGAAGGAAAGTCTGTAGGCTGGCAGCGTTGGCAAGACATTTTGTTTTTTTTTCTATAGCGAAAAGGAGAGTTCAAGGATGGCTCAGATTTGACCAACGATGATGGCAGCTTGAGAATGGCTGGTCTGATGACTTTATTTGCGTATGATCAAACTGATGGCAGCCTACATTGGGTCTTTTCCCTTCGCTACGAGCTTGATTTCATAGAATTTTACTCTCATTTGAACATGAGGAACAGCCAGAACCTCCCTCTCCCATGTATCTTGTCGCTTGGACATTGCAAGACCCTATCATGAGGCTAATGTGCCAGAGATAGGCGGCAAACCCCAGTACCAAGTAGATGGTTGTGAATGTCATGCATTCTGTGCGTTTTCTTTTCCAAAGAGCAAAAGCAAAGACCGACTAAGAGAACATTGACGCATCATAGATGCAAAAAATGAACTACCCATGCTCGCATCCCAGTGCGTCTTCTCTCCCTACACGCGCAACTTAAGGCCGTGCTCAGTATGTGGCAAACCTTTAGGGGACTCCTAAAGAGGGAAATTGAAGACCAATTTATGAACACATTGACGCATCAAATACGCAGAAGATGGACTGCTCATGCTCGCAATCCAATGCGTCTCTCCCCTCACATACAACTTAAGGCTGTGCTCAAGTATGTGGGAAACCTTTAGGGGATAGGGAAATTGAAGACCAATTTAAGAGCACATTGACTCAGTCAAAGACGCAAAAGATGGGCTACTCATGCTTGAGATTTATGCCTTTCACTACAACATGACCAAGGGCAGGTTCCCTTGTGACTTGTGCCAAACTGGTTTATCAAAGGTCAAACGGTGCCCTGATTTTCACCGGCCAGCCTGCACTACTTAAACTGTTCTAATGTCAAACTGCTGCTTGAACAGTTTTGGTCCTTAGTGAGAAGGTATATGCCTGGAAAACCAGGCTGCTTCAATCCCGTGGCAGGCTCTCTCTTGCCCATATGAGAAACTCGAAGCAAATCCAAAGCTGGAATGCAAGATTCATCTGACGCAGTAAAATACCAAAACCTTGTAAGCAATGCCTGCTTGTCTACAATGGACGAGCCACGAGCTTGGTCAGCTGCCAGACTGGCTCGTCAGCGCACCGGCTCATGGCAACTTGAACCAAGCCACCTTGTCTTAGACCTATGCTCATGCCTAGTGTTGACAAAAGAGGGGTGTTGGCCCCGCCCACGCTTGGGCAATGCGGACGACTTGGTCCGATGTACGGGAGAAACATCCGACCGCTCACAATGGGAGAGCAGACGACTTCGTCGAGCTGCAGGGGACCGCTGTGGTGCTGCTGTCGACCAGGGAGCTCGACAACTGCAGGTGACTGGGCTGGGCGACGGGTGGGCCGTCGACTAGGACGGGCAGTTCGATTGGGAGGCTGACGGAGCTGTCCGTCAACCTGACAAGTGAGCAGTGGTCGACGAGGGAAGCTCGGCGTCAACCGCTGACAATTCTGGTCGACGGAAAGGGTCCGTCGACCAGGGGGTAGCTTGACAGGAGTTGTGGTCGACTAGAGGCACCTGGTGGTCGACCGGAGGTACCTGGTGATTGACCAGAGGCACCTGGTGGTCAACCAGGTCGACGGGGTAACCTACTCGACGAGTTCTGCGGAGGCATGCGAACGTCGTCGAGATCGCGATGGCGAAGGAGACTTCGGGCTGGTAACGTGAAGTCGATGTGGCTCGTCAGGTGCAGATAACAGCCGATGGATGCACAACGAGGCGAGTTGGGCGCACCTGCGGGCGTACGCACTGCTGTCTTCTACGGGGCAACGCTGGACAGCCGCCCTGCTGCAGCAATGGTACGCCGTTGACCTGCAATGTTGGCAGGTCACCTTTCGGCAGTGCAAGCACAGCTCCTCTACGCAATGCTGGCAATCGGTCGACCATGCAGTGCTGGCGGTCGACCAAACTAGCTCCAGGGTTGCTAGGTGCTTGATGTAGTCATTGTTGTCATTGCTTGTTGAACCAATTCTGTAATTTTGACTTTGCTAGTGGAAACTCTTGCCGATTTCTCCCGTGAATGTGCAAGCGCTAAAGAACTAAGCAAAGCTACGATCACTCCTAGTAGTTTGTGCCAACCTCTGTTGTCTAGCTCACTACCGCTGTAGAGTGACTCTCCGCACCTAGTTTTTCATGACTTCACTGAACACATTTCTTATGATGGAAAATGCTGATAGCGGCAAACTTGGTCCCTTCATCATGAGGCTCCTAAGGATTATGGCAGACCAAGCTCGGTTCAACTCAAACAAACGAGCCATGGCTATCAAAGCGAGGATAATGCCCAGCGCAAACCCTCTCAATTCCATCTCAATAATGTCTCCATACTGGCCTAGTTTCAGCTCTTGCTCTCGTTAGTTTTGAAACTAATATGGCTCGCATATACTTCCTACCATACGCTGTGATGAGCCTCAAAAAAAGCGGGGCT